GCATTCCTGTAACATGCCGGCTATCAAACAAGATATTCTGACATGATACGGAACTGCATGCGTGAGGCGTTCTATGCCGTGCCATGGCATGTTGTGTGCCTCTGTGTTTAAGGTGGCTCAAAAACTTTGCGCATGTATGGTTGGGAACGAACGATCACACCACAGGTACTTGCATAACAACTACTTTGAGGGGTCGCTGCCCAGTCTCCCATACAACGTATCGACTGTGTACGTCTCTCAGAACTCTCATACCACAGATGATTTTTTTTGCTCTACATAATTTCCTCTTCTCGGTATCACATTCTCCCTGTGGAGTCCTTATACGAGTTCAACTGGGCTGAGAAGATTGCTTATATGATAAGAAACATCTATCAATAACAGAAAATTTGCACGTCAGCAGTCGCGGATTATGTCGCGTATCACATTGATGTTATCATCAATGATCCCATTAATCTCGTTTGGTGTCAAACAACAGGGATATCAGCAGCAACAGATTCACAGGATTTCCTCAGAACACTGCAAATCTTAGCAGCCTTGCATCATTGTAAGAGCGCGCTCTCACTCACGCTGTGCCTAGAACCTGCAGTTGAGCATTCCAAATCTTCTCGCAGCACGGGGCTTCAAATCTGAGGATGTGCGGAGGATGGCGAAGCACGGTAAGACGAAGTGTGACGTGACCCACATCCAGAAGCCCGCAATAGCACACCTTGCTCCAGAGCCTCACACATGTGCGTACGCAACAGACTGCGCACACATTTGTATTGACAGACATACGCTGTCCCTGTCCCTAGCACAATATCACCCTTCCCCTTCCCCTTCCCCTGGCCCTCGCTCTCCACCTCGCTCTGCAGGAACGTCAGCAGCATCAGGCTTTCTGGCCCATTTCCTTCAGAGCTAGGCAGTCTCCTGGCCCTTACATCCCTGTACGTGCCACTGCAGTCCCTTGTTGATGCACCAGATGCGTTCACCTGCATGCATCCAAAATAAGTTCGGGCTCATTTTTAGGACTCTTCTGCTGCACCCCAATCTTGCACCTCCTCTAACACCTCATCACACGCCTCTTTCACACCTCCTCGCACACCCTTTACGCCTTCTGTTATCCGTCCCCCAAGCAGCAACACGAGTGGTAACCAGTTCGCAGGCGTCATTCCTCTCTTTTTCCAAGACCTCAAGCTCCTTAACTCTCTGTGAGACCGTTCGTTTCCTGCATTCATGGGAACCTCCATGTGGCATCTCGTGGACGCCGGTCCCTGTATGCACACGTAACTTCTGAGTCCTGTTTTTACGCGTGGCTTTTGAATACTGTGCATGTCACATGGCTTCAGCCGTGCTATCTCAGTCCGCGAGCCTCGACTCGATCTCCTTGTGAATATCCAAGTGCCATCCTGTAACTGGCAGGGATCTGAGTAGCAGCTCTCTCAGTGGTAGCATTCCGGACTTCCTGAGTGTGCTCACGTTTTTACAGAGGCTGTAAGTGAACATTTAATAAACCTAACGGTGTGCTGCCTGTAAATAAAGAGTTAACTGCGTTTTGTGCTGCAAAGTTTCGAGATTTGTTCTCACTGAGTGTGCCAATAACCACCGTCCCACCATTCCACTTCCACTTGTGCTTCGTTTCAGTCGCTCAATTATGTACCATCACTGCTGCAAATATTCTCACTATATGTTGCTCACTGTACGGCCATGCTTTCTTCACGATTCACCTTCACTCAACCTGCTGCCTGCACAGAAATCTCAGCACCAACGCGCTCTCTGACACGGTATCTGCATCCCTGGGAGCTCTGGCCAAATTGACGTGCCTGTAAGTGTCACTAGAACTTCAAGTAGGGCCATGTCTTGTAATATCTAGTATATTTCTTCTGTTGATTCTAACAGTTATATTAGAGCATTGCTATGGTGAAAGAGGAATCTCAAGGTGCATAATCTTGTAGAATATTTCACAGTGAGAGAAAGAAAGTATACACATGCGTGAGTGACCAAGGATCCCCACTCCTGGAGGAGTGACAAGACAAAGAGTCAAAATGCAAGATTGTCAGAAGGATGATCAAAGAGCGCGTAGCAAGAACTTAAATGACACGCTGGGTACACTGACTATACTATTCTTAATCAACATATTCACGCCTCACTCTTCCTCTGATGAAAGAGATTTACAGGCTGCTGGCAGGCTTCTCTTTACCTCGAATCTCACTCATCAGCACCTTCTCACGCTTTCTCTCTTCCCTCTCCCCTCCACAGTGACATCAGCAGCAACCAGCTGTCTGGGTCCATCCCATCTGCCTTGGGCAGTCTTACCATGCTCATGCACATGTGAGTGATGCACATGGTGAGTGATGCACATGTGAGTGATGCACATGTGAGTCATGCACATGTGAGTGATGCACATGTGAGCAATGCATGCTCGTGTGCATGTCAGCTCCATGTGCAATGTGACTTGCAGGAGTGAACAATGCATATTCATGTTGCATGTTCCTGATTGTGAGCAATTGATGCTCATTCACGTGTGGATGTTTGGTTGAAGAAGCAGGTTCTTCAATAATATACTAAACTAGATGCTTCACACCTGTTCTGCTTCCAATCGCATCTAATCATGCCGATATTTCCTCGCAGGGACATGAATCGCAATGGCATTTCAGACTCCATCCCTACCAGCATTGCCCGGCTCACAGCCCTCACCTCACTGTACGCCCACATGGGATCATCCTTGTTTCTCTCGAACAAATCACCTGCTTGTTTGCATCTTGGTGGTTTGGATGTAGCGTTATTGTGGTTCGGACATAGCATCATGGTGGTTCGGACATAGCATCATGGTGGTTCGGATGTAGCATCACGTTGGTTTGGATTTAGCATCACGTTGGTTTGGATTTAGCATCGCGTTGGTTTGGATTTAGCATCACGTTGGTTTGGATTTAGCATCACGTTGGTTTCGATTTAGCATCGCGTTGGTTTAAATGTAGCTCCATGGTGGTGGTGTGGATGCGGCATCATCCGTATCATACAGACTGCTCTCCTTGCATGAATGCTGGTTTGGATAAGGCCCTTTGGGATAGTGGTGCTCCTTTTGGGCATGTCCCTTGTGTTTACGCAAAGGCTTCCCGTTCATGCACATGCTGCTCTGCGGTGTCATGCTCACAATGCTCCCCATGCTCACCATGCTCCTCATGCTCACCATGCTCACATGCTCACCATGCTCACATGCTCACCATGCTCCCCGTACTCACCATGCTCCCCATGCTCACCATGCTCACCATACGCACCATGCTCAACATACTCACCATGCTCACCATGTTCACCATACTCACCATGCTCACCATACTCACCATGTTTCTCTCACAGACCATGTACATCTGCCCCCTCTTCCCTCATCTTTATTTATCCTCCACGCCTCACACCACCTGTGCAGGAATCTGAGCCGCTCAAGCCTCACGGGCCCCATCCCCGATTCTTTCAAGACACTCTCCAACCTGATTTTCCTGTAAGCATCCAACCAGTCGACTCCCACGGTCACACCTCAGATCGTCTGTTTCTGTTAGTCCCTACTCTGTGCACTCTCATAGCCTCGCCTCACACCTGCTTTTTCGTTTCCACAGTGTGTTCGCCTCACAGCCTCGCCTCCGCAGGTGAAATGCATGCGCAAACCGAACCCACGTAATGTTCTTTGAAGCGCCTAGAGACGAAACCCACCAGCCAGGAGAAGAAAGTAGCTTGCACAGATATGCGGAGCCTACATTCTCCACAACCGATGTGGAGTGGAATATATAGCCGTGCTTGTGCATGCCTGATAGTCGTTCCTTATTTGGTAATTCACGTATGCACGTTTGTGCATGCCAATCATCTGAAAACATCTGCACCGTTTTTTTCTTTGCATTGTGTCGTCTTACATGCATTACACCAGCACAGCATCCATGTTCCCCATCTAAATGTTCCTACCACGATGCGCTTCTCTGATCCACATTGCAGGGATCTAAGCTACACGGGGATATCTGGGTCAGTGCCATGGGGCGTCAACAGCCTGGAGAAGCTGCAGACACTGTGAGAGAACACTTGCCAGAAAAACTTAGTGTTTGTGGACGTTTGTGCATGGATGGTTAGATGCTACAGCTTTTTCCCGTGGAATCATATTGTATTTCAGTTGTGAACCTTCTCTGTGTGTGAGTGATGACTTGCATTCCTCAGTCCCCACTACAAGCTTCAAATGAGACAACTCTATCGCCTTGTGTAACGATACTGGCACCCAACTCATGCTTCTTCCTCCACCAAACATCTTCTTCCATCACTGCTGTTGTCTTCCTCGCACGTCTCCTTCCTCGACCTCACCACCCAAACACCCCTCTCCCCCTCCCTTCTCTCCTCCTCCCACCACCAGGTACGGCACCCCTGGCATTTTCTGCAATGACAATGCCACCTGCCCTGCCGCCGGCCCATTGCCCCCTCCTGCGCAACCGGCCAATCCCACGTCGCCAGCTGTCAAAAACTCCAGCTCCCCTGGGTCTGCCAGTTCGTCTGCGCCCAACACCACCTGCCACGTGTGCCAGAGCTACTGCCTCAGCTGCTCCTCCTCTGCGTCTGGTGTGTCTCCTGTTGCCACTCTATCTCTCTGTCCCTCTAGCTTTTCTCCCAGCGTACCCGTTAGTTCTTCACATCTTAGCTCTTCAGATCATTTCTGTGTCTCCTTCGCCACTGCTCCCAGCGTACATATTCTTTCACACTACACATTTAAGCGTTTCGAATTCCTCTGACTGGTGTCCTAAACCTTCCTGAACTGTCTTTCCCCTCACATTCTTCCTGAACCTTTGCTCTTGATTTTGCTTCCCTTTCGCCCTTCTTTTTCCATATGAATTCTCCCCATTGATCAATTACGACAAAGAAGTGATTTATCCATTCTCCTCATACCCTTTTCTCATCCCTTGTCATATTACTTCGCGACAATTTCAAATAGTAGAAGGCAATGAGCAGAGGAGTGGGAGGTATAGTGAGTATTCTAAGCAGTAATCTAGGCAAAGATGTTCCAGCCACAGCTGCACGTTCATTCCATGCTCTCCTTACTATCATCCTCCTCCTTGTCCCTCAATCTCGAGTATTTTCCTCCTCTCCCTGCGTCAGCTCCCCCCCCTGCTTCCAGCAGTGCTCTCTTCCCGGGAGCCATAGCAGGGATAGTGGTGGCGGCACTCATCGCCCTTATTGCCGTCGCCCTCCTCCTCTGGTTCCTCCTCCGCCCATCTGAACCCGGTAAGCCCCGTGCTAAGTATTTATGATGCCGAGTGCTTCTTACACTTCTTCTCTCGCTTCTTTCATTCCACGCTTGCTCTCCATGCTAGTTTGGCTGCAGTATTCCACACCCTCTCCACCCCCCTTGATCCAGTGAGAAGCGCACGTCAGTAGCTGTGCACATAGGTTTCAAACGCATGGCTTTTTGGAGATCAATCAGATCACACCCTTCAGGTCTCCTTCTTCCCTCACTTGTCTCTGCTTTCTCCCTCAGCTCTCTCTGCTTTCCTCCTCCTTTAGTCTTTCATTCTCCTTTTTTCTCCCATTTACTCCTGTGACACAAGATTCAGCAAGCCAGCACCCTTTCTCCAAAATCAACCTAACCTGATGATTCCAGATTTTACTCCCGACCCTCTCTTCCCGTTATGTCTTCAGCGTGCAAGCAGTACTCACTGGTAGAAATCCAGCAGGCCACCGACTTTGTCTAAAAAATCAGCCCGACCAGCCTCATTTCTCCCATTCCTGCTACTCCTACCCTTCCCTCTCCCTCATCCCCCCCAGCATGCAAGCATTACTCCCTGGCGGACATCAAGCAGGCAACCAACTTTTTCTCGGAGGTCAACCTGGTCGGCTCGGGGGGCTGCAGCGATGTGTACAAGGGCGTGGACCCGAGCGATCCGGAAGTGGTGTGGGCCGTGAAGCGCGCCTCCATGCTGTCCAACGACTTCAAGAAGGAGGTACGAAGAGAGGAGTGGAGGGAGGTTGGAGGAGTGGGAGAGGTTGTTTGGGCAGGGGGAGGGTGAGGGGTGGGGGGAGGGGAGGGGGGGGGGGGGGGTTGTAAAGGGGGAGGTGGGGAGTAGAGAGGAGGAGGGGAGGGGGGAAAGGAGAGGGAAGGGAATATGTGGCTGCAGCGACGTGTACAAGGGCGTGGAACCCCACACCCCGGGGTGCTGTGGGCTGTCAAGCGCGCCACCTAAACCCTAAACCCTTCAAGAAGGAGGTACGGGGAGGGGAGTGGTGGAAGGAGGGAATTTGGAAAACGAGGAGGTGAGGGGGGGTTGGGGTGGGGGAGGTGAAGGGGTGGGAGGGGAAAGGAGAGGGAAGGGAAGCAAAGGTAAGGCAGTATGGGGATATAACGACGTGTACAAGGGTGTGGACCCACTCCAACCCGAGGTTCTGTGGGCCGTCAAGAAGGAGGTGAGAGGAATGTACAGGTATTTGCAGTGTGGATTGGTGTGGACTGGTGTGTGGCAGTTTGGGCCATGAAGCGCACCACCATGCTCTCCACCGACTTCACGCAGAAGGTGGATGACTTCATCCACCAACTTCAGGAGGTGGGTGGGGGTTTAGGGTTTAGGTTTTAGGGTCTGTCTTCCTCACCCCCCTCCCTTCGTCTGTCCTCCCCTACCTGAATCGCCCGGCCCGAGCCGCGCCGCCCTACCGAGCCGCGCCGCCCTACCGAGCCGCGCCACTGCTGCTGTCACTGCTACTGACGCTACTGCTGTTACTGCTACTACTACTGCTACTGCTCTTACTGCACCTATGGCTAGCCCTGCTGTGCTCGCTTTCGATGCTGAGGACCGCCCGCTGAAGTTTGACACCTGGCTAGATGACTTGCACCTGTTCCTCCAGCTCACTGCCAAGGAGGATATCTCGCTGTACGATCACGCACTAGGACTCGCTGCTGCCCCTGCTGCTACTGCTGACAGTACTGCCCGCTCACAGTGGCAGACTCGTGACGCCCACGCTCGCTTCGCTATTCGCAACTCCCTGCCGGTAGATGAGCGCGAGCACTTTGGCCAGCACAAAACTGCGCAGGCACTGTACACTGCTGTAGTTGCACGCTACTCCTCACCTGCCTCTGCTGCGCTAGGCCGTCTCTCGCTCCCCTACCTGTTCCCAGACCTGTCCGCTTTCTCCACAGTCGCTGACCTCATCACGCACCTCCGCACTAGTGAGGCCCGCTTCCGTGCCGCTATGCCCGCTGAGTTTCTTGCCACCCACCCCCCCCCGCTCTGGCTCACTCTCTACCACTTGGTCACCCGTCTCCCTGACTCTCTTCGTGTGGTCAGGGACCACTTCCTCGCTCGCTGCCCCACTGAGCTCACCGTTGACCTGCTCGAGAAGGAACTGCTTGCAGCTGAGACTAGCATAGTCGCTGTAGCTGCCTCTCGTGGCGACCCCCGCACCCCTTTGTTCGAGGGGTGTTCCCCTTCCCCCCTTCTCCCCTCTGTCGCCTCTGCTGCTGTTGTCGACCTCGTTGGTACTGAGCAGGTCGGGACTGCGTCCGCTCCGAGCTGGCGCCGCAGCGGCAAGGGCAAAGGGGGCAAGGGAGGTGGAGGTGACGGCGGGGGAGGCGGTGGTGGGGGCGGTGGCGGCGGTGGGGGCGGTGGCGGGGCTGGAGGGGCTAGTGGCAGCGGTGGGGGTGGTGGCGGCAGCAGCGGAGGAGGTGGCCGGGGTGGGGGCGGTGGTTGGGGCGGCGGTGGACGCGGAGGCGGCAGGGGCGGTGGTGGTCGAGGTGGTGGCGGCGGCGGTGGTGGTCGTGGAGGCGCTGGCGGTGGCCAGAGCCAGCAGCACACTCCGTCGTCCCAGGAGCTTCGTGAGTGGTACTCTCAGCATGGGGGGGGGGGGGGTGGCCTTAGCTGCACGTACGTCATCCGCACTGGTGACCGCACTGGCCAGACGTGTGGGAGGGCGCACACCACGCAGCGCTGCTTCTCCCGCCTTGACGACGCTTGGCGCACTCAGTTCCCTACTGCCACTGAGCTGCCCCGCTGGGCTGACCTGATGAGGAAGAACATTGATATCTATGCTCTTGACTTTGATGCTATTCTCACTGCCATGTATGTGTTGTCTACTAGTGGAGAGGGTGATCAGTACCTGCGTGTTCCGCCCGACCCGGGCATTCGGACCAGTGAGGCTGCCGCTCTAGGTGCTAGTGCGTCTGTTGCCCTAGGTGCTGGTGAGGCTGCCGCTCCAGGTACTCGTGTGTCTGCTGCCCCAGGTGCTGGTGAGGCTGCTGCTCTAGGTGCTAGTGAGTCTGCGCCCCCTGGTACTGAGTCTACTGAGGCACTGCACACCTTCACTCTCGACTCAGGTGCTTCTCGCTGTTTCTTTCGTGACCGCACTGCCCTTGAGCAGCTTGCTCGGCCAGTTGCTGTCTCCCTCGCTGACCCCTCTGGGGGTCCGGTCATTGCGACCTCCTCCACTGTCCTTCCTTGTCCTGCGGTTCCGTCGGGCACACTGTCAGGTCTCCACCTCCCCTCGTTCTCTACGAACTTGGTGGCGGGTTGTGCGCTCCAGGACGGGGGTGTCCACCAGTTCACCCCTGCCTACGAGCGCGTGACACACTGCACGTGTGTTCGGACGGGCCGTCACCTGGCTACCTTCACTCGGCAGCCGGGGTCGGACCTGTACACACTGACCACTGAGTCCCCTCAGGTAGCTGCGTCTGCGTCTGCGTCAGGTCAGCTGTCTGCCCCCTGCTCGTGTCGCTCTCTGGCGCACGAGACTATCCTCTGGCACCACCGCCTTGGTCACCCGTTAGTGCAGCGCCTTCGTGGCATGCACAAACGGTACCTTGTCTCTGGTCTTCCCAGGGTTCTCCCTCCCCTGCCACCCTCGCCTGCTCCTCCCTGTCTTCCCTGTGTCGAGGGGCGGCAGCGCGCCGCTCCTCACTCCTCCTCGTTTCCCCCGACGACTGCTCCCCTGCAGACGCTACACATGGACGTGTGGGGCCCAGCCCGCGTCCGTGGACAGGGTCAGGAAAGGTACTTCTTGATAGTTGTTGACGACTACTCGCGCTACACCACGGTCTTCCCCTTGCGCACCAAGGGTGAAGTCCCTGATGTTTTGATCCCTTGGATCCGCGCTGCCCGTCTCCAGCTCAGCGAGAGGTTCCACTCCGACTTTCCTGTCCTGCGTCTGCACTCTGACAGAGGTGGGGAGTTTTCCTCCGACCTCTTGAGGGCCTTCTGTCAGGGGGAGGGCATTGAGGAGTCGTTCACGCTTCCGGCCTCTCCACAGCAGAATGGGGTTGCTGAGCGCCGCATTGGCTTGGTCATGGAGGTCGCTCATACCTCCTTGATCCATGCGGCTGCCCCCCACTTTCTGTGGCCGTTTGCGGTCCGGTACGCTGCGCATCAGCTCAACCTCTGGCCCCGTGTCTCCTTGCCGGAGACCTCGCCCACACTGCTGTGGACGGGGAAGGTTGGCGATGCGTCGCGTTTCCGGGTCTGGGGATCTCGAGCTTTTGTCCGCGATACGTCCGCGGACAAGCTCTCCTCCCGCGCTGTTCCTTGTGTCTTCCTTGGCTTTGTCCCGGACGCGTCTGGTTGGCAGTTTTACCACGCCACCTCGCGCCGTGTCCTGCCCTCTCAGGACGTCACTTTTGACGAGTCGGTGCCCTACTACCGCCTTTTCCCCTACCGCACTGCCCCGCTCCCCCCCCCGCCTCTCTTCCTCGCGCCAGGTGCTGCTGTGGTAGAACCCCTCCCCCCTCAGGGTGCCGCTCCCTGAGGTGTGTCCCAGGTAGACCCGGTTGAGCCTGTCGAGGTAGCTGTCGACTCTCGTCCTGCTAGGGGTGCTAAGCCTGAGCGTGCGGAGCCTGGGGGTGCGGAGCCTGGGGGTGCGGAGCCTGGGGTTGCGGAGTCTGGGGGTGCGGAGCCTGCGGGTGCTGAGTCTGGGGGTGCTGAGTCTGGGGGTGCTGAGCCTGGGAGTGCTACGTCTGAGGGTACTGAGCCAGAGGGTGCTGCGACTGAGAGTGCTACACCTGGAGGCGCTCTTTCCTCACAGCAGCTGCGTGAGTGGTACTTACAGTACTGCAGCCTCAGGAGAGGTGCTGCTGGAGCTCGTGCTCGTGCTTCCCCTCCTAGGCGGGAGCTGCCCTCTCCCCAGCGGCTCCGAGAGTGGTACGCTCGTCGCTGCAGTCTCCGGAGTGGAGCTACTAGTGTCGCGGACCCTGGAGCTGGAGGTGCTGCTGGTGCTGGTGCTGCTGGAGCTGCTGGAGGTGCTGCTGGTGCTGGTGCTGCTGGTGCAGGTGCTGCTGGAGCTGCTGGAGGTGCTGCTGCTGCTGGCGGTGCTGCTGGTGCTGCTGGAGGTGCTGCTGGTGCTGGTGCTGCTGGAGCTGCTGGAGGTGCTGCTGGAGCTGCTGGAGGTGCTGCTGGTGCTGGTGCTGCTGGTGCTGGAGCTGCTGGAGGCACTGCTACTGCTGGCGGTGCTGCTGGAGCTGCTGGAGGTGCTGGTGCTGCAGGAGGTGCTGCTGGTGCTGGAGCTGCTGGAGCTGCTGGTCCTGGAGGTGCTCGTACTGGAGGTACTGGAGCTGCTGGGACTGGAGCTGCTGAGGGGGTTGGAGCTGGAGTTGCTGAGCGGCCGCGGCCGTACTACGTTCCGCTCCTTCAGCAGGTTCTTGGTCTCCCGCCCTCTACTGGTCCTACTCCTCCCCTACTGAGTCCACCGCCTGTCCAGTCACAGTCACAGTTACAGCCTGCCTCTCCACTGCCTGGTCCTTCTCCTTACACTGCGCCGACGGGTAGTCTTACTGAGCGTCGTGAGCCTGAGTCTCGTCCTCCGTCGCCTGAGTCTAGTCCTGCGTCCCCTGAGTCTCGTCCAGAGTCGCCTGTCCGAGCTGCCCGCACTGGTCGTCGTGCTCCGCGTGAGCGTCCTCCTCCTGTCCTTGGCACTCACTATATGACCCTACGTCCTTCCACTGCTCCACAGCGTGTCCCTCTGCCGTCTCCTCCTGCGTCCTCTCTTCCTGACGGTCCTGACCCGCCGTCAGACCTTGCTCGTGCTGCCAGTCCTACTGTCGGGCGTCTCCTTGCGACTGTTGTCACTGACCCTTCCTTTGAGTCCTCTGCTGCGTCTGCTCTAGTCGCTGAGCTTGTTGACTTTGCTGCCGCCTGTCGTCTAGACTACGCCGCTAGCCTTGTTGCTGATTCTGAGTCCGTCTGTCCTCCGTCCGTCGGGGGTGAGTGTGCTCTTGGCACGGACGTCCTTGAGGACAGACAGGAGGAGTTTGAGTGCTTTGCTGCTGCTTTACCTCATCTCGTGTCCACGCTGATTGCCCCTGAGGGAGACCCGGATGCACCAGACATCCCGACCCCACGCTCCTACGCAGAGGCGATGGAGGGTCTCTACTCCTCTCAGTGGCAGACAGCCATGGACGCAGAGATGGCTTCCTGGAAGTCCACAGGCACCTACGTCGACGAGGTTCCCCCACCTGGGGCGAACATCGTCAGTGGCATGTGGATTTTCAGGGTGAAGCGGCCGCCGGGTTCTCCGCCTGTCTTCAAGGCGCATTACGTTGCACGAGGCTTCAGTCAGCGAGAGGGAGTTGACTTCTTCCAGACCTTCTCCCCGACCC